TATCACCTCAGTACTCACCTTACTTAGTGTGGCAGTTTACAATCAGCAGTGTGCACAAGCTGTGCTCAATGCTGTCACGAAATCCTGCGTGTAACTATTATCATGTGTAAGCTGTGTCAGTGACAAATCAACCCACGGCAGAATCTTGACACACTGAGAATTTTCTAGTGAAGATAGTGTCAGAGAGTTGGCAGTTTCAGAGATAGCAAGATCGAGACGGGTGCAAGAGAAGTAATGTGTTTGCCTGAGAGGACGACTAGCAAGCCACCTATGCCATACTTCTATTCTATGGAGGGAGGAATTAACAAAGTTCGTCTGAAGACCTATGCGTCCCGACTCACTGTGAGCCAGCAGATGCAACTTCGACGACAAGATTTTCTCTACAGATACATATCTTACTTCGAACAGGCCGTGTAACAGCTTTCCCCGTGGACTCTGTGCTCACGTCTGACTAAGTATTCCCCTTCCCCTTTCACATTCTTCAAGGATAAATCAACCTTCAGAGACAAAGAGAGATAGAGGGAGATTGAGGCAGATGCATGCATAGATAAAATGATACAGTGAGATTCAAAGATATTCAGAGGTGGAGGGAGAGAAATAGAGCAGCGATATTCGCGAAGTGGCTAACTAACCTCTGTACACTTGGATTACCACAGCAATCCCAGTCTCTCTCTCTCTCTCAATATCTCCCTCTCTACCTCTCCACCTCTATATCTCAACCTGTAAATCAACCTGTCCCTGTCCATCACTCCCTTTCGCTCTCTCCTCCTTGAAGTCCTGCCATCGACTGGAGTTCCCTTTCAACACTATTTATCACCTCAGTACTCACCTTACTTAGTGTGGCAGTTTACAATCAGCAGTGTGCACAAGCTGTGCTCAATGCTGTCACGAAATCCTGCGTGTAACTATTATCATGTGTAAGCTGTGTCAGTGACAAATCAACCCACGGCAGAATCTTGACACACTGAGAATTTTCTAGTGAAGATAGTGTCAGAGAGTTGGCAGTTTCAGAGATAGCAAGATCGAGAGGGTTGCAAGAGAAGTAATGTGTTTGCCTGAGAGGACGACTAGCAAGCCACCTATGCCATACTTCTATTCTATGGAGGGAGGAATTAACAAAGTTCGTCTGAAGACCTATGCGTCCCGACTCACTGTGAGCCAGCAGATGCAACTTCGACGACAAGATTTTCTCTACAGATACATATCTTACTTCGAACAGGCCGTGTAACAGCTTTCCCCGTGGACACTGTGCTCACGTCTGACTAAGTATTCCCCTTCCCCTTTCACATTCTTCAAGGATAAATCAACCTTCAGAGGCAAAGAGAGATAGAGGGAGATTCAGGCAGATGCATGCATAGATAAAATGATACAGTGAGATTCAAAGATATTCAGAGGTGGAGGGAGAGAAATAGAGCAGCGATATTCGCGAAGTGGCTAACTAACCTCTGTACACTTGGATTACCACAGCAATCCCAGTCTCTCTCTCTCTCTCAATATCTCCCTCTCTACCTCTATATCTCAACCTGTAAATCAACCTGTCCCTGTCCATCACTCCCTTTCGCTCTCTCCTCCTTGAAGTCCTGCCACCGACTGGAGTTCCCTTTCAACACTATTTATCACCTCAGTACTCACCTTACTTAGTGTGGTAGTTTACAATCAGCAGTGTGCACAAGCTGTGCTCAATGCTGTCACGAAATCCTGCGTGTAACTATTATCATGTGTAAGCTGTGTCAGTGACAAATCAACCCACGGCAGAATCTTGACACACTGAGAATTTTCTAGTGAAGATAGTGTCAGAGAGTTGGCAGTTTCAGAGATAGCAAGATCGAGAGGGTTGCAAGAGAAGTAATGTGTTTGCCTGAGAGGACGACTAGCAAGCCACCTATGCCATACTTCTATTCTATGGAGGGAGGAATTAACAAAGTTCGTCTGAAGACCTATGCGTCCCGACTCACTGTGAGCCAGCAGATGCAACTTCGACGACAAGATTTTCTCTACAGATACATATCTTACTTCGAACAGGCCGTGTAACAGCTTTCCCCGTGGACGCTGTGCTCACGTCTGACTAAGTATTCCCCTTCCCCTTTCACATTCTTCAAGGATAAATCAACCTTCAGAGACAAAGAGAGATAGAGGGAGATTCAGGCAGATGCATGCATAGATAAAATGATACAGTGAGATTCAAAGATATTCAGAGGTGGAGGGAGAGAAATAGAGCAGCGATATTCGCGAAGTGGCTAACTAACCTCTGTACACTTGGATTACCACAGCAATCCCAGTCTCTCTCTCTCTCTCAATATCTCCCTCTCTACCTCTCCACCTCTATATCTCAACCTGTAAATCAACCTGTCCCTGTCCATCACTCCCTTTCGCTCTCTCCTCCTTGAAGTCCTGCCATCGACTGGAGTTCCCTTTCAACACTATTTATCACCTCAGTACTCACCTTACTTAGTGTGGCAGTTTACAATCAGCAGTGTGCACAAGCTGTGCTCAATGCTGTCACGAAATCCTGCGTGTAACTATTATCATGTGTAAGCTGTGTCAGTGACAAATCAACCCACGGCAGAATCTTGACACACTGAGAATTTTCTAGTGAAGATAGTGTCAGAGAGTTGGCAGTTTCAGAGATAGCAAGATCGAGAGGGTTGCAAGAGAAGTAATGTGTTTGCCTGAGAGGACGACTAGCAAGCCACCTATGCCATACTTCTATTCTATGGAGGGAGGAATTAACAAAGTTCGTCTGAAGACCTATGCGTCCCGACTCACTGTGAGCCAGCAGATGCAACTTCGACGACAAGATTTTCTCTACAGATACATATCTTACTTCGAACAGGCCGTGTAACAGCTTTCCCCGTGGACGCTGTGCTCACGTCTGACTAAGTATTCCCCTTCCCCTTTCACATTCTTCAAGGATAAATCAACCTTCAGAGACAAAGAGAGATAGAGGGAGATTCAGGCAGATGCATGCATAGATAAAATGATACAGTGAGATTCAAAGATATTCAGAGGTGGAGGGAGAGAAATAGAGCAGCGATATTCGCGAAGTGGCTAACTAACCTCTGTACACTTGGATTACCACAGCAATCCCAGTCTCTCTCTCTCTCTCAATATCTCCCTCTCTACCTCTCCACCTCTATATCTCAACCTGTAAATCAACCTGTCCCTGTCCATCACTCCCTTTCGCTCTCTCCTCCTTGAAGTCCTGCCATCGACTGGAGTTCCCTTTCAACACTATTTATCACCTCAGTACTCACCTTACTTAGTGTGGCAGTTTACAATCAGCAGTGTGCACAAGCTGTGCTCAATGCTGTCACGAAATCCTGCGTGTAACTATTATCATGTGTAAGCTGTGTCAGTGACAAATCAACCCACGGCAGAATCTTGACACACTGAGAATTTTCTAGTGAAGATAGTGTCAGAGAGTTGGCAGTTTCAGAGATAGCAAGATCGAGAGGGTTGCAAGAGAAGTAATGTGTTTGCCTGAGAGGACGACTAGCAAGCCACCTATGCCATACTTCTATTCTATGGAGGGAGGAATTAACAAAGTTCGTCTGAAGACCTATGCGTCCCGACTCACTGTGAGCCAGCAGATGCAACTTCGACGACAAGATTTTCTCTACAGATACATATCTTACTTCGAACAGGCCGTGTAACAGCTTTCCCCGTGGACGCTGTGCTCACGTCTGACTAAGTATTCCCCTTCCCCTTTCACATTCTTCAAGGATAAATCAACCTTCAGAGACAAAGAGAGATAGAGGGAGATTCAGGCAGATGCATGCATAGATAAAATGATACAGTGAGATTCAAAGATATTCAGAGGTGGAGGGAGAGAGAGAGAGTGAGAGAAATAGAGCAGCGATAATCGTGCAGTGTCTAACTAGTCTGCGTTTTGAAGGTGGATAATTTTGTGTTTTATGTGCAATTGCGGCTTTTAGAAATATATGACTAAGGCCTAATTGATTGGAAAAGGGATAATTATGTGTATAGCAGGAAGTTATACAACGTGTTTTGATATGATTTGTAACAACCGTGTTGAGATCTAGTTACCCTATATTGGTATGGTTTTTAATTTTTTTTCTAACTCCTTGTAGCTTTTGTAATTTTTAGAAGTCTTGTATGATTCTTTTGTTTTTATGTGCATACTGATCACAACTCACGCATTAAACTACTCACCTTATTACGTAACTTTACGATGCTCATTCAACTTCTTTTATGTGCTGATCAACCATAATAACTATTTTTTTGACAACGCATCACCACCACCCTCTCACCAATTTTCGCCCCCACCCAACCTACTCACAGTTTGATTATTCATCACATTTTTTGAAATGTCTTGGCAACAATAACCCTTACATATTTTCATTCTTATCGGATAAACCTAATGTACGCACTCATAGAAAAATAAGCATATATAATTGCGATTTTACAGCTAAGTGAATGAATTCGCCGCCGAGAAAAGACTCTTCGTTGAACTAAGTGTTTTGTTTACATTAATATCGGGTTGGGGATTATTTATAAATATATATCATATATCTAACAATAATGTAACATTTACGACACGTGAACAGCCAAAGTGTCATACACTTATACTTGTAAGTGATTCACAGAGCAGATCACTTGAAATGATTACTCAACTCACTACCAAAAGGGAATTCTTGTACATGCAATAATTATATTCTCTTCATATATATGTGACGGGAATAAAAACGAAACATCCAAACAACGAAATTCACACATTACACAGAAAAATTAAAAAGAGAAAATGAAACTATGAAGGATTAAAAATATAAAAAGTTGAAAGGAAAGTAAGGGAAGAGATATACTATATTTTTCAAAATAATAAAGTTGCTTTCTGCTCTTGTAACGATAGATTTGATCAAATGGATGTGTTTTATTTTTATTTACTCCGAATAAACAAAAAAAGACATTGAACAATGGACTATGTACGCGAAAATGCGTTCTTATTGTATTTATTAGAAAAGTTTCTATTATGATTATTGTTAATTATACATTTCTGAGAATAAGGCACCAAGGCTCCAATTAATTTCAAATGATTTAACTTTTCTGAAAAACTAAAGAAAAGAAAATTATTGTTAAAAAGTAAGTAGAAATAATGGAATAAGTAATATGTATCATGATACTTGACTACAGCAGTTAGCACAACATTAACGTCAAGTAAATCAATGATTCTACATGGTTCAGAGACTTTTTGATGTGAGCGTTGCCGACACGTCCTTACAGACTTTCATCAAAACTTGTATTCATTGTCTTGATGGTGAAGATCAGACAACCGGTTAGAAAGAAGATAAGCAGAAAGCAACTCTAGTAGCAAATTAACCGTACAACAAATATGCAGAGGGAAAATGGAGATGAGTAGCTTAGACATACGCTGAACAGACATTTAAATATCACACGCCAGCAATACCCTGGAGTGTAAGCTGAAGGAAGAAGAGGCAAGTCGGGAGTCCGAGAATAGATGATCATGTGATGAGGAGGCAATAGAAGCAGATTAAAGGTAGTCGTGGGGCCAACTGGAAGCGATATCATGGAATCGAGCATAAGGATATGAAGACTGAAATATAGATTTCGCAATAGTAATAAAAAAACTCTACTCGTTACTTAGGTGAAACACATGATGCCCTATTTGGAGGATCAGCTCATGCGTGCCTTTCCAAGTGAAGAACTTACCAAGCTTTTGAAATTTTAGTGGCGGTGATGTCATTATTTTTACAAGGTGTGGTTGCTAGTCTCACGTTCAATATTTCTTCTTTTCCAAGGGGAAGTAAAGGATTGTATCGGACAGCACATTCAACCTGGACTAACAAGTATTCTATGCTTTAACTATCGACACAGCGATGGAAATACATGTAAAATTACTCTTATAATTTTTCCACATTTATTTGTTCATTGCAGTTTCATTAAAACTTACTGTTGCCTCGTTTAATGTAGTTTTACAGTGTATAAGTTTGTGCGACTGACAAGAAGGACATACACTAGCGACACTTATAAATGTTCCCGCAGGTCTCACCATGCCTTAAGCATTGTTTGGATAGTGGTTAGATTAACACCACTTACTGTTGAAGGGTTTGAAGCTGAAGCTTTACCACTGGCCAAAAGGGACGCGGTAGTAAACCCACTATGCTAAGCTTATTATTCTGAAGAGGGGAGGGTGGTTAAGAGAGGGTCAACCACGAGCATTCTACATTCCAACTTATCTAGCGGCGACAGGATTTTCATACGAATGCACAACTTCAAAAACCACCTGAATCAGGCCATTGTATTCATCACACTGGCCTCAAACAGTTGCCTACCGTATGCATTTTGTGTTCACGTAACTTGTTCCAAGAAAGAAATTTTACATGAACCCGGATTTCAAGGTGGACTTTACCAGAGATATCCTTATTAAAAGAATTTCAACATCTCTGAAAAGAACATTATTTGCAGCAATGCTAACAATAGCATTCGCCAGTCTACAGAAGCCTGAAGGAGATGATCGCATATCTGACTACCTATTCCTGTAGAACCAGGCATATTGGTGATTCGATGTGTCTGACCTGTCTGACATGGTTGCAAATAAGTTGTATTGGCTCTACAAGGAGTGAAATCGCCAAACACCTTGTCAAAAACACTGGTTATTCCATCTCAACAAACGCCTTCTTCAAAATAATCTACAGAGTCAAAGTTAATACGTCTTCGTCTTCTTTGCATTGGTGAAGCTTTAGCCCTTCAGGTAGAAAAACCAGAGATTTGTATCCAGAGAAAATTATTCGATCACTTCTACTACGACGGTAAAAAATTAGCTGATATCTAATCACTTGATTTTTGTTTGTTTGTTTTTCTAACTCCTTACAACTCTTGTATTTCATCAGGACTCTTACATAATTCTATATATTTTCCCTCGATCCTATGCGCATCCTAATCACAATACACTTATTCAACTATTCAACTTCTTTTATGTATCGACCAATATTAAGAACTATGCTTGGGATAACAATTCATCACTTGTGTTACTACCCTCCTTCATGAAAAACAGATTGTATATATATATACGCGATTGTGAAGCTAGAGGGGATAATGAATTCGCCGAAAAGAACCATTCACTGAACTACGTGTTTTGTTTCTGTTAAAGTTACAATGATAATAATAGTAATAGTAATAATAATAATAAGATTTACTCCTATCTTTTTGTCCCATGGAAATCCATAGCCATTATGCAGTAAAGCAGTAACAAAGTTAAGATCCATACAATCGAATGGTTTCTTTGGATCTGGATTCTGACAAACTGAGAAGAAATTATGAAAAAAAACAGAGAGAAAAAGCGTAATTAGTGAATGAATAAATCATCGGTGTGGTATTTTATTAAATTGTGTAATCAAAACTCACATTCTTGTCCTGTCTTTCTCATACCTGTAAGCATTCCGAGTCTGGAACATCTGGCTGTGCATACTTTGAAGTTTCACTAACAGTGACAGTGGTGCTGTATTTACGGGGGTATTGCTAAACTTCCTTTTCCTTCTGGGCTTACTACTATTACTATCTAGTAAACTAGGCAGAAGGATTAAAAGTAGATCGGTGTAGAATCGAAGTCGGGTCACTTGCATTGGCTGGAGAGCAACCCTATCGTTGTAACATCGCATTCAGCAAACATGATCTCATTATATCTCAGAGCCCAGAGGGAATGGCTAAATAGGGTATATGACACAATTGATCTTCGAGGTGATGATTTAGATCTCAATGCATTGAACCGAATCAAAACCACCTGAGTGGTTGTCCAGCGTTCCAGCAGTGAGTCAGTGATGCACTTTTGTCTTTACTCTATTTCCCATAATTCTCCAGCACACGACAGCATAAAAGGTTTATATAAAAGAAAAGAAGGTGTTCAGCGAAGACACTCTTTTCGGCGAATTCATTCACTGAGCTGTACAATCGCATATTTATACAATTTTGTTTGTGTGTGTGTGTACATTAGATTTATAAAGTTTATATAATTATGTAATATAAGTATTTTTTTGGCTTGGAGACAAACGTTAAGATGGAAAATAAAATAGAATTGATTAAGTGAATTGGATGACGTAATACAGTTGAGTAGAATTCAGATTAGGTCATGTTGGCAACAATGTTAATGAGTGGTGTTTAAAATAAAATAAGGGTGGGGTTAGAGAATAGTACAGCCAACTGTGTTACGTCATCCGATTAACTTACTTATTTTCAACTGTACTATTCTCTAACCCCACCCTTATTTTATTTTAAACACCACTCATTAACATTGTTGCCAACATGACCTAATCTGAATTCTACTCAACTGTATTACGTCATCCAATTCACTTAATCAATTCTATTTTATTTTCCATCTTGAGGTTTGTCTCCAAGCCAAAACAATACTTATATTACATAATTATATAAACTTTATAAATCTAATGTACACACACACACAAACAAAATTGTATAAATATGCGATTGTACAGCTCAGTGAATGAATTCGCCGAAAAGAGTGTCTTCGCTGAACACCTTCTTTTCTTTTATATGACTGAAGGGGGATTTTCAAGTTACATAAAAGGTTTAGCATATTTGATCACATATGTTAGCGTTCTATCTTCTGTCTTAAGTGGTATACTGTAGTGAGTTAGGCTTCGAGTGTTAGGTCGTTGGTTGGGAGGGTAAGTTAGTGAATGAGGTAGTGAAGTTGTGCATCGGTTGAGATGGCAAGGACAGCATGCTGAGCAACCGACTTCGTCGACAAGCAAAGTTAGCTGAGATAGGTAGGATTAGGTTGAAAGACAGAAGTGGTGGTCACAGACTACCTGTAAACTCGTAAACATAAGGGCTTGAATAACCATTAACTATTTCACTATAAAAACCATAATAATAGACATTACAAAATGGAAGTAATGCCCCCGCCCAACAATCTTGTGGTTTACGTTTTTTATACATTTATAAATATGAGACATGATTCAAACCACCACTCACCTATCAATCGTAACCTTAACTAGATCACAAACAAACGCATACACACACCTCTCTCTATCGTAGACACAATGATCTATGCAGTAAGTACTCACACTACCTGCAAGCCAAATATACGCACAAACAAAACCATTCAGAAGATTATTGATTTAATCAATAATTGGAATAAAACTAGTATACTACTTAAGAGTACAAAGTTAGTTCGTTTGTTTGTTGAGTGTGGTTTATATTTTCAATAAATGTGAAACTTCTTCTGGAAAAACTGATATGAGAAATTATACAATTTCAAGGATTGATGATCACGAAACCACTGATACACATCCGTTCAAGAAGACGATTGAAAACTACCAACAACAGCAAAGAGAACTGGACAACTGTTTCATCTGCCTACTTTACGACCCTATAGCAACAGTAGTGTACGCACGCACTCATGACGCGATCTACAGAGATCGAACTAACCACAATGTTCAGGTTGTAAAGCCACTGGCACAGGATCCAATGGACCTATCAATGCCAACATCAGCCAATTCGCGATACATAAAGCACCACCACCGACAATCAACGTCATCAGTGCCTATTTCTCCTCACATCTCGCTCTATTTGATGAATATCACTGGTCACGACTTTCCACTAGAACAATTCAGCCAACTTCATTTTTCTATAGCCAGTCAGTCAATCACTTACTTGTGAGTACACCAGATTAATTTTCAAGTGTTTGTTGGTGTGCAACGGTGGCAGGGGGAGGAGGAAAAATTGATCACAGGCCGACTGTTGAAGAGGCAGTCCCAAATTAGACTGGACAAAACAGCTATTCAATGCTCCTTGCTTCTGGTGGTTTCCAAAGGTTCTCTGTAACTCATGGCAGTCGGTTAGTTCATAGTCCAACTTAAAATGTGGAGCTCTCGAAACTGATATGAGAATTATGCACAATAATAAATACTAATCAGATCCCATGGGTTATGTAGGAGATTTTTGATGAAATCTTATGGGTTATTGAATCCCCACCTAGTGAGTGGCTGAATAAATCAGTAGTCAACACATTTGTCTCTCATCCGTAGTAGCGTCAGTTATGGAGGATGAGTACTGCGACGGAAACAGCTGTCCATCTCACTAAGAAAAGTCACCTGTGTGTAACTCTACTGGAATTGCCTTTTAAAAAGGCTAAACAGTGTATACGCAAGGGGTGTTATGTTTCCCCACACGTGTATACGAATGTAAAAGGTACTGCGTAAGCCCGAACTCTGTATGTATGTGTGCACAGAGAAGGTTCGGTCCTGAACTACTTTATACTTCACAATGTGGAATTAACACAAATGTCATTGGATTGCGGTCCCAACAAGGCTGATCGAACAGTAGTAAACGTGTTCGCCTCATCACCACCTGTGGTTACTAGGTTCTATGATTCTTTAGGGGTGGGTACTCACTGATGAACAGCCCCGACCTAGGAGAACGAAACAGATCCTTTTAAGCAATGATTTTCTAACTGAGGTCAGTGTCAGTTTGTCATCGGGTAGAAAAGGACACTGTTTGTCGTCATGATCTTGCCTGAATTATCGTTTGCTATCCTATTATTAACTAAGCTATCAACAAATATTAAATGCACGAACGCGTGATTCTCTCATGAGAAAACGTTCCTGTCACATGATCATTACAGTAGATAGAAAAAACTGACATAAGACCCATAAAAAGTATTTATCAGAACATTGATATATGAATAGAACTTGTGCACTGTGGTAGAGTAATGGAATTAATCAGAAAACGTTAAGACGCCCACCCACTCACACGTACAGTAAGAGAGAAGCGAAGAGAAGGCGTTATTGAATTAAAGAGCCGATTATTAATATAAATATTATCAGAATAAGTATATTTCGGTTGGCTATCTAACTTAATTTTGATGTTTCAGTAGCAGTGGTGTTATTCTCCACTTAACAAAGTGGGGTGGCTAGCTGCACTCCCATCCAACTTTCCCTATTTATCCGACTTACTAACGGGCGAGCGAGGTTCAGGAGTAGTGAATCAGTGGCCAGGGATATATATATATCCTTTGGAATTGCAGATGACGTCGCAGATACAATATAGGAAGCAGAGCCCACAAAATTTTGCCCTTTAATCGTAGAAAAAGGAACTGAAAATCTCTGAGATGTAAGATAGGAAGCGGAGTATATGAAATGTGTACTTGACAGCTGACTGAAGCCTTCGAGCTGTCAATTGGCACGACTTGACCACTTTAATAAAGACTGAATAACTTCCTTTAGTAGTGAGGATGTCTTTTTTCTTATCTTATCTCTTTTTTTACTGTGACATACAGTGAAGTTTTTGAGAATATCCATTAGCCAATACAATTGAATGTATGCACCGTAGGTGAGTCAATAAATGTGTCAGGCGGGCCTTTGAAAACAGGCATTTCACTAGGTGATGTTCAACAAATGTATAAGAAATGAAATTGCTGAAATAAAGATAATGTTCACTTTATGAATGGTTGCAAAATATTGATCAATTCATTTTGATGTCATCCTGCCTCCAAGTCGTCATTGCAATCTCCAGGAAATCCACTTTGTTATTCGATTCAAATTCTGTAAAGTAACACTGATATTTGGATGAATATCATTCATTCGAATAGAGTAATGAAGTTGTCAATCGACTCATTACTGTCATCAATAATAAGCCTATCATCCATATCCAATGTTCATACAGCATAAAGTCTCTTTGTTGCATACCTTACATTTCTTTCTCCAATTTCGACGTAAATACATTGGCTAACAATAGGGTTCCGCATTGCAACAACATCAATTTGTTTGTGTACTTTCCCTTGGAAATCGACTAATATTTTCTGTACTTGTCAAGATACTATCTTTGATGTAAGTGACAGATAAAACAGTAATTGTATTCCTATGTTTGTGATGTTGTTGTTGCGTGATACAGAAAATGTGTTCCAACAGAATATTATTCTCACAGTAAAAATCATTGTATATGTTGGTGTCAACGTCTGAATACTATTTCCATAGTTCAATAGTACATTAGCAACAGAATAATATATTTATTTGAACATTTTATTTCATATGGTTTAATGTAAACCAAAATCACACGAGCAGCGATTGGTTAAAAGATATAAACTGTGTATTTATAAATAGCTGTTTGATCGCTTGAAAATATACCTTGGCTTCCGTGTCTTGCCTTCTGCTGTTACAATATAATCGCAAATGAGATCAACGGTCTCGTGCCAAGCGGAATATATTGGTGGTGAACATCTGGTGTTTTCATGTTGTTTGTTCAATAGTTTCCAGTATGTTAGTTAACAAGATCTCGTGAACTTTCTATACAGCGCACAGATGAGTAGAATCTTTAAGGGTGTATTTACCTCGTTAACTCATTCGGCAATCTTATGATATGGACTCGATATCGATTTATCTAAGAAGCGTCTCTCTCAGTAAGTATCCAGAATTGCGAATCTTTGGAAACCATAATTAAATTAGGCATAGGACTTTAGGGGTAGGGAGAAAATGTTAATCGACGAATTTCATGAAAGTAAAGCCTGAAAGAATAATTCAAACGATGGTGCAGATACAACTGCCATTTAGGAATACTGAATTTAAAAAAAATGTGATGTACTGTGACTGAGATTCAGAAGAACCTCTCACCATACAGATCACTGAGAGGAGCTTTCTTTTTTTGGGGGGGGGGGAGGGGAATTAACCTGAAGATATCAATTTCTACAGTTAACGGATTTGTGAATGACAGGCTGCTGCCTTGATCTGTCAGGGAAGACAAGCAAATAAGAAACCAATGCCACCAATACTGAAACTTAAAGACTTCAAAGCCTGGAGATCAGCTATGTACAACTCAAGACACAGATGAACAAGAAAAAAGTGGTCAACAATACCAGAATAACTTTAAAATGATCTTTCGAAATAACCCCCAAAAAATATCTCAAATACCAAAACTTACCAAGTTTCGCAGCTTTATAAAAATCTCCAACCGTTAAAAATCCACCATTATCTTCATCAATTAGCCCAGCACTAACAGCAAGGTCAAAATAATAAGAAAATGCGTAGAATTCCCGCGTCTTCACCTCGTCTGGTTGATGAACAATGAAATTATTAGGTGGATATCTCGTCGTGTTACCATCACCTTTAAAGGAGACGAGAAAAGAGTAAACAAAAAAGGAAATCAAAATCAAGATCTCTTCATTGAAATTATGAAAACAAAGAGCTTGATAAGTTGCATTTATAGACAAAGCATAAGACGTAACCAGTCAGATCATTCAGCTATTAAGATGATGGAATCTACTGACCCATGAATTCTAACTTCTGCCGATTTCACAACCATCACTCATCAATGTCATTGCCTGACATTCACCCTCACATACGAGGATAACAAAAAGAAACCAACAACGGTTAAAAAGAGGCAATTGTTCCGGAAACTGTAATTCAATGAGGAAGTGACTAGTGAACTCCTACCTACATCTAAGATTATCTAGAACTTTATGTATATATATATATATACTGCTGCCACTGTTTACCATTTTCCAGCTGACCGATTATAATTGCTTAAACGAAAGATAAATTCTACCTACTAAGTTCTATGCATTCATAAATTTAGTTGCTCATGTGGGTGAGCAGTCAGACAGCTTAACAAACTCATTACTGAGAATTTTTCTTCCTTCATGATTAAGAAAAGGGGGACAAATAAAATCTATAAGAAATTGTATTTTGTCTCATTTAATTGCTAGTAATAGGGGTCACCAAATGGACAGAAGAAGCACCTTCAAGGTTACCTATCACACATTCCGCCTTTTATACATGCAAAGCCGAAGCTATGGGGGGATTCAAGAAAACAATCCTTGTCTTTGTATTTAAAAGAAGTTTATTTCACCTTTGTCACTCCGTCATTCTAGCCAGGTAGGTTTTATAAGCTGTACGTAGACAAGAAGTATCCGAAGGAATAACGACGATGGTACTACCTTATTCTGCACAAACCACTCTCGTTACTTTTTTTTACTTTAATCCAATATTGAGGTTGGTTGGAGGAGTGTTGGGTGAGGAGTAGAGAAAGTCAATCGATGAGGTTATAAAGCTGTTCACCGATTGAGATGGCTAGTGTTATGTCTTTCTCATGGAACCAAAGAATTCTACTGGATAGACGTTTCATACTAGTTACAGACACTAGTGATTCCACTTCTTAGGAACAAACAACCCTCGGTTTACGAGGCAAACTTGGTGACCAATCAACAAGTGGGATGGAATCCAATGGGTCAGTGAATTCTAACTTCTATTATTTGACAGTATATATATACCGCGAATGTCATTGGTCAACATGTCTTCAAACTTGACGACTGACTGGCGTTGACTCTACTAGTCATCACTTTCTCAACAGAACTCCTAACAAACTGATTCTGTAGTTAGTGACTAGTAGAGTGGTGTCTCTCATCTTAACTCGGTCGATATAATTAAAAGGACTCTCATAAAAAATCTAACGGAAGAAAATCAACTGCCAATTTTCTCATATATGGCTAGGTGTTCATAGTCTGTGCTATATATGTCCCATTCACTGCTTCACGCAGAGACGATGGGGTGATTCCCACAAAAGTTAAGCGGCGAATGTGAACAACCTTACGTAGCTTATAACCCGATCACTGGTGAACATGCTGGTGGTCTGCCTATATAGCAGAGCTGAAAACTCTTATTGTTTCCAAACCTAAGGTGTGTGTGTACTTGGGGTCCAAAGTCCCAAAGGGTTGAATGGCGTACATGAACCTATCTCTCCCGGATGACCGGTAACCATGTAGATACTCCCAGTTGACGCTTCCCTCACAGCGCACTGCCTTGTGGATCAGACTTCGAGTCAAAGGCTCCAGGTGTCGGCGACGGGAGGGTGACAACCATCACCTGCTTTAATTTGACTATCTATCTGGCCAGTGAGCATCCTAGCCCTCGCACAAACTATGGAACAATAACTGGTATGGAGCATCTCTTCGTAGTGTCCATAATATACCAAGTTTGTGTTTAAATAAACCATGTATATCTAACACGACACATAACATGAAAAAGAAGACAAAGTAGGAATATTTACCTTCTACAGGATTTTGTAATACAGATAGCGCCAGAGCATAACACACAGACAAGTAACTATTATTCATTAATTCAGTAGATATTTGCTTGTCACTTGATTTCGTCATCACCGTCATCGTCATCATTAGAGAAGACAAAAGATGCGGTGTCATCATCATTGATTGATTCATTTGCCCAATCTCCCAATCATAACCAGCATGATTCCAGGTGATCTGTAAATAAAGGGCAATAAAAAGGCATTATAAAAGCGATTGAGTGATTTTGAGACGATGGATTCATTTTGATTCATTTCGATATAGATAAGAGATTTAGAGATCACTAAAGACCACGGAGAACTGGACAACTGTTCCGCCCTAGTCTATGACTCTTCCGTTCACCTGATTCTCTGAATTCCTTATTACTAGCTGGCTTTCATTTCCTCATCATCATAATCACAGAATCTCCGCCAAGTCAACCTCGGAAAAGAGTTCAAATCACTACTTATTCTCATTCGGATTCCACTCGATGACCTGCCTGGCATGAGATATCACTCAACAGTCTCCTCTCAATGAGTACTTTCTCATCATCAATCTTCATTTCCAGGTATACCACCAATGGGTTTGGCCCCTATACGAGCAAAACGGCGATCGTGTGTTTAGATCACCTCGACATGACTAGGTAGCCCTGCTGGTTCATATGACTGACATGCAACTACTCATCCCAAACAATCAGCAGTACATCATTTTATGAAAATCTTCATTCCCTTCTGCATATTTGTTGGATAATAGGTTGTTAGTTGGTCGGTTCGTTGAGTGCCTGAGTTCCTTGTTGCATGTTGCTTATCCTCCTTCCCGGCTGTCCATCTTATCTTCAGTATAGAACCGCATTATAAAAGCACTGTTTAACTTGAAATGTTGGTATTGAAGATTCTTATCTTGTCCTGCAATTCTATATGATGACTTACACTCTTTAGATTATGACTGGAAGGTTGATCCTACTACTACTATCCTTAGTTTCTGTCGCCTCAGGCGCTTAAGTAGGCAGAGTGGGACTCGAACCCAAACTCATCAGCTTAAATCAATCAATAATCAACAGGGAACAAACACAGAATATGGAAAATAGGGAAAAAAACACAATCGAATTCAACTGAACTCACAGTGATATTATTAGGCCAACATGGATAAAAGAATTGTTTCTTGCCATCCGGTGGTTGAGAAGACTGAACACTGACGTAACCAGTTGCAGTATGCAACATTGAATAACGTGCTGACATTAATCCCAGTCCAAGATAACTATGCGAATAAATCTGTAAGTAGAAAAAAAGAAAAAGAAGGCAAGTGTATACATTCAAAAAATTTTTTTCGGTTTTTAGCGATAATTAAAATATAATAACAAGTATAGGATGAACAATAAGAGATAAAATATGTGTGCGGACGGTTATCACTACCCGGTTGCCTCTGACTGGCTGACTGACTGGTTCCAACATAGAACTGTGCACCGACGTGCAGCAGTTCAAGTCGCCACACTCCATGTAGTACACAAACCAAGAGAAGAAAGTAGGAGAAATGCAAAATAGAGACAGTAAACAAAGATTATATGAGGCAAAAAGAATAGTAATATAGAAGAACAATACAGTCTAATTGGGTACTATAAGTCACAGGGAGTGGATGCATCTGCGCCACTGGGAACGATATTGAGCCATAACACCAATTGTCTCCAGCCTTCATTGGTGTTTACCGTCCCGAGGACCCCAACCAGGAAGTCTACACCTTCCTACGTGGCTTAGACTAACTGTTGTAGATTTCATTGACTGGTGACATGTTTTGGTTTGAGCGCCGCTGGCTCTTTTCCAGCCTGACCATATATCAGCTAACATTGCCCGTCGAGGAAGGCGATGACTAGGCATACGTAATATATGTCCTAACCATCTCAGGCGATGTAATTTCCCCTCCTTACCTAGCACTCGACCGATGCCTAACCTCAGTATTGCTCACCCTATTGTACCACTTCACACGGGAGATAGAACGCAGGCACATATGATCAAAGACAGCTAATCTTTTCATGTCTTCCGCTCTCAATGGCTAGGTCTCACAGCCATAAAGGAGGACGGAGCAGACTGATGAGTAGTACACACGCCCTTTGGTCGATAGTCGGATATCACGTCTACGCCAGAGACGGCGTAAACTGGCATATGCGAAACTAGCCTTCAGTATCCGAGCTGAGATTTCGTCAGAGATCAACCCGTTGAGGTTGATGGTACTTCGCAAGTAAGTGAAGCGGTCAACGTGCTCTACCACTTCACTCCCTATTTCTAATCTAGGAGTCAGTGTAATCCAGTCCTGTAACATTATTTTACACTTTGAGGGAGCGAATCGCATGCCAAACATTCGTAGATTGCAGCTCAAGGTGTTCAGAAGACTCTGCATTTTGTCAGCGTCCTCACCTAGAAGGACTATATCATTTGCATGTTCAAAGTCAACGAGAATATTATTTCCTGGTAACAAGTCAATCCCTGAGTCTATGATGAAATTGAATAGAAATGGGGATAGTGGGGCATCACTGACGGACACCGCTAGTTGTCACCACTTCAGATGACAATTCGCCGTAAGCTTTCTTGATTCCCTCGTGTTTGTGCCTCCCGAGCACCACTTAGTCTACGCATAATTATTGAGCCTAGGACTTTAGATACTATATTAGTCAAGCCAATCCCTCTCTGACTATAACAGGAAGACTTGTCTCCCTTCTTGTATATAGGGATAATCAATGACTCACACCGACCCGACGGGACTTCCTCTGACTCCCAGACGCTGCCTAGTTCCTTAGTTAACGCAGACAGTAAACTGTTTCCACCGTACTTAAATACCTCTGGAGTCAATAAATCAGGTCCCGCTGCTTTGCCTTGCTTCAGATTGGTGACAGCTTTAGTAACCTCAGTTAGGGACGCCGGACCTGTGTCTATATCCGATTCAGGGAGGTGTTGGATGTTCGGCAGGTTAAGTGTGTCTGTAGGCCAATTAAACTGCTCCTCATAGTGTTCTTTCCAGCGTTCCAGTCGTCTATCCTGGGAGCTAATTATGGTGCCACTTTTCTCCGAGATTGTCTCACTTATCATTTGCTTTTTACCACCTGTTTCCCTGATCAGTTTAAATAGTTGTCTGGTGTTACCAGTCGCCGATGCCTATTCCATCTCTTTCGCTTTTGTCGCCCACCACTGATCACGGTCGTTTCGAAGGCTTTTTGTTAGTTTACATTTGAGCAGCTTTCGCTCTTAGTCATAATCGGAGTCAGTCTTCTTGCGTCAATCAGTTCGGATGAGGCGGTAGAGATCCAATGGCTCTTACCAACTTTTGGTTTTAGGTTATCAACAGCTTTTACAGCTGTGTCTACAGCTAACTGCATGCTGTGTCCTGCTGTCGACCTCAGATACACGTTTCGCCATTTCCACCTTAAATAGGGACTTAGAGTCTCAATCTAGTTGGGGACAGAACTGCTTCACTGTCAACAATTTCTTATGTCTGTTTAGTCGAAAGCACAGACGTGCGCGAACCAGGGCGTGATTGGAGTCTACGCACCTGTTCCAGAAGGAGCGGCTGTCTTCTACTGACCATCACCAACGACAGCCTATTACTATGTGGTCTATCTGAGTCCAGCGTTGATTTGATGATAAAGGTCGCCAGGTTACGAAATGTCCTTGTGCCTAAAGTTAGTACTGACAAAGACCAGATGATTATCTAACTGATATCAATCGGTGATCAAAACGTGAAACTTATCAATTCCGGACAAGCCAACTCCGTAGTGATGTGAATCGTTAACCTAAGCATTCAACTTACAGCCCTGTAAAAAGTTGTTCTTCGACAAAATTAGTTAAGCGATAACGTGTCTCTTACTACAGCACTGCGCGATGTAAACCAAAGCTACGGATACGTCTGGTAGACACCGAGTGTGAACAGACCCCTCTTCGTTAAAGAAACAGGAAGTGAAGTAGTTAGGCGTGTTAACCACCACTTCACTTATTTACGAAGTTGAATCTGCCTTGTTGACGAAACCTCAGCAGAGATACCGAAGGTTATTCTGGCCTTCACCAACTGATGTCATCTCCGGCGCAGATGCATGATATCTGGCTTCTGATCACAGGAGGTGCGTACTACACAAAAGCAGTTAGCTTTGTCCTTCTTCGTGTCTATGTGAGACACAAATGCTTGCTGAAAGTACAAACCTTGAAGATACTAGCAGTCTTTGAGTATTGTTTTTCCGTTCTATGGTATATGGTATGATGTAATATAGTGGAGAGAGGTGACTTAATTTTGGCATATCACAAGTCCTCCTCCTTCTCTTAAGACACTAACCTAATTCTATGTTAGCTTGCACTGCCTGTAGAGGAAGGCAGTTGCTTGGCATAAGTAGCACGTGTCCTAGTCATCTCAATCGATGCACACTTTTAAAACCTCATAGACTGACACTCTATGTTGCATAGCCATAGGGAAGGACAGAGTGAACTGTTGAGCATCAAACACATCCTTTGATGAATAGCAGGATTTCCTGTCTACGTTCGAGATTATGTGATTTGTCAAACACTGCACGGTGTTTTCGTATCCGTACTAAGATTTTATCAGTAATTAATCAGTCCATTAGGGGGAGATGCAACCTCTTAAATAAGTGAAGTGGTCAACATGCTCAACCACTTCACATCCTAATACTTAAACTATGAGAAGTCGGTTCAAATCAGTTATGCTGCATCATTTGACTCTGTTCTCAGTAGGTAGCAAGTCAATCCCTATTTCGCTAAAGTCATATCCGCACTACTAGACTATGTCATCCCGTGAGTATCTCTCTATCTATCTGTTCTCTAATCGAACGATGAATTAATGGTCGACCTAATGACTAGTCACAACTTCTCGCTAGAATTCAAGTGTTATGGTAAGAATCCATACAGAGACGCATAAAACTCACCTTTTCCTGAAAATCTTTATTTTCCTTTCCGTTTGGACTAAAGTTAGTAATATAACCAATCGGTGAATTCTTAATGGTATTTAATTCCGTCGGAATAAACGTGATCTGTGTCGACCCACCCCCTAAATCCAATGTACCAATCGTTGTCTGTTGTTGGACAAGTGAATTCTGCTTGTCATCACCAGTAACCATCACATTCATCTTTCTTTGTGATAAACGATCATTTAAGAAATTTAATGTAATCCATAAATATAAGCCTTCATAAAATCCATCCATTATGGTCACACCATTAGATAACTGTTTGAAACATGTTTTTGATAGTCTTGATCGTACCTGTGTAATAAAATTTTTAAAAAATGGAAAAAAGGGGTCAGCATACTCATTATTTTTTTCAGTTTTACGCCTTTAAAATATAGTATGCGCACTGATTTTCGGAAACGTGTAGCTGTGAACACTACTTCAATTCAGTTGGTTGATGAATAAAATTTTGTGAAATTTTTGTAAACACGCCCTTCTTGAGTCAGACCATTCAGCTTCTTGTGATTAATCTCTTAAACTGGATTGAATTCAGTCACACTGATGATAATGTCCGTTGCCTCGACGTTTAATGAGCAGTTTAAATTTACTGATGTCACCTATAATCAAAGTGACTGAATTGTCATGGGGTCTCTTTTAAGACCTTTTCCCTAAAGGCATCTTCATAGAGAGCTTGACAATCGGTTCAAGAAAGAGATTATCATGAATGTGTACATATGTATAGACGACACTTGTATTATTTGTGATGATAACTGTCCAACTGCTGACCTCCTTAGAAAATTTAATGTCTCCCACCCATTTATGTTTATCACTGTTGAAGAAGAGTTGAATTCCACATTTTCATTTCTTAAATGTTATGCTAGATAGAAGAGAGGAGGAAGGCACATTGAAAAGGTTGATCTACTGAAAGTCAACCTTTACGCGGGCAGTACACTAACACCTTCAACAATTGCATGTCTCTAGGTAGAAAGTAAAATCTTATCCACTCTCCATGATTCAGAATTCGGTAAATTTGCTCGATAGATATAGTTGATAGAGAAGTAGAAACCCTTCGTACAACAAACATAATAATAATGAAAGAAGCAGAGAGCAAGTAAAATGGTTCCTGATCAAATCATATTACGAAAAAAGACGTTATACGAGTTTGATATTCAAAGGTGAAAGACTATTGCTGGAGTAATTAAAAGGCCATCTCTATCTAGGTGTATTCAGACGCTCTTTGTTTATGTCGCTGACTTATACACATGGTATTCTCCAGTCGAAGTATAATTCGACTATGTGTGAAGCATATACTATCATTTTTGTCCACCTCTATTTACATCTACTCATTCATATGTTTCATTATAGCCGATTACATTCGACGTTGTAAGCGCTCGTTTCCGAAGACACCTAGCTGCAAACGTTGTGTCGATTTAGCTTATGAATAAAGCGAGCATAAGAGGGCGGAGTCTTCCATGTGTGAACACCTTCTCGAGTCTGACCATTCAACCCCATTTTGATTTATCGTTTAAATTTATATATACAGGGCTAAATTCATTCACTCTAAGACTTTTTTCACCAGATTGTGTATAGCTGAGAAGACAAGAATACATCGGACTAACAACAAGACTCGAGATGATTTGGATTTCGCGGACGATTTATGCCTAATTTCACCAAACTCGAAGATCTAAAGACGAATATCAAAAAAGTCAGAAGAAGAGGCAGGTAGGGAAGATAAGACTGTTCAAGTGAACATTGAGAAGACAGAGGTGATGAAAATGCTTAACTAACAACAGTAAGCACCAATCAGTGCTGACGGGAGGAATCTGGAGGCAGTTGCTTCTTTCACGTATCTACTCAGCATAGTTTCAACTATATGCAATGGAACAGATGAGAATGTCCAAGGCAGGTCTGCTAAGGCAAAATAGACATTCATTATTTCAAAATTACTGAGGAAATTCACTCTACTCACTCGGCATAAGGAACAAAATTCAGATTTTCAACACTAATGTTAAGTCAGTGAGTGGTTCCAATATATGATTCAGAGACTTGGAGCACTCGTCGCCAAAAGCATTTTCAACAGGCTTCTGCAGGCTGCTGCCTTCACTGGCTGTATATTGAAGATCAGATAACCGACCACAAAGGATAAGCAAGAAGTAAGGAACTTACAAAGGACCTGCCTAACGCCCGATAAATATGCAGAAGGAAATGAAGATGGGTGATCTGGACACACGCAGTTAGGACACTGTTTAATGGCAACACGCATCAGTAAGGCCCTCGAATAAAACCCATTTGGTAAGCGAAGAGTTAGGTGTGGATCCTAACGTGACAGGAAGATCGTTTAGGGAGGGTTGGAATAAAAGATTATGGGCGATCCTGGAGCCAGTTAAAGGAAAAACTTCAGAGAATAGGATGAAATGGAGAAGTGCCAAGGCCGAAGCCCTATACTCCACTAGAAATCCAAAGGAATAAGAAGAAGAACGGAGTAAATTTAATAAATAAAATGATAACATACAGCTTTCAATATATTCTCCGCTTTAACAATTGATAACAATCGTAAGCCAGCTGTAGCTCTCAGCATTACTGGTGTATTATGGCATGTATCAGGGGGTAGACTTTTTTCAGCAGTATTTATCAGCTTGGTTAAACTATTGGCAGCATCATCTGGCTTTTCAGCATAGGCAGATAATCCTGGTTTCACTTGATCAAAGATATCATCGATTAAGGTATACGGTTTAAAATGATCTGTTCAGAAAGAATAAAATAATAAAAATGCAGACGATGAACACACGCTGATGAGTTGATCAATATGCACAAACACGCATATATGTATGGGGGCTGGAGGCGAGGCTAGCGACCCCATGCAGTAAAAAATAAAAACATCATACCATCACTACTGAAATATCAAAGCTTAAAGCCCAAAGTTCCCCACTAGGAATGCAAAATGTATGAAGGTGAGTGAAGTGCGAAACCTGAATAGTAAAGATAAGGTTCAAAACCAGAACAACCTTTAGAATTATTCTTTAGGTTTGGTGCTAGAGCCACTCGCATTTAAGATAGTCTCACCATCAAATCACTAAATAGGTATGCATTATTATTCCTGTGGGTTCCTAGAGGAACTATATAGGGCTTCAGCTGGGGCAGATCTCCATTTCATCCTCTTTTCTGCTATCCTTCTTAGCTGGCACCACAATTTGACTCTCTCCCCTCCCTCACTAGCCTTCATTTCCACCTCTTCACATGATATCTCAGTATGTCACCCTCGAAGCGACGCCCAACTCGTGAATCACTTTCCATCCGAATTCTAACTCAAAAGTCTGACTCACATTAATTTCTGCTTTATTAAGAATTCTACATGCTACTTCATACATCCATCAAGAAAAGGATGTGAGGACAGATACTAGCCGATGACATTAGCTAGTGGCGACTGAGTCACATATATTCGCACTAGACAGAGGTTAGAACTCATGCATCGACCATTGTTTTCCATCCCAGTGACTACTGAATGGTAACCTGAAGGTCCTGGGTTCCATCCTAGTTCGGGTAGCGGGTGAATACTGGTGAAGAGTCCTGCCGACAAGCCAGCTATCTTGTCGCGTCGAGCATGAGAGAAGTAGGGTTGGAAGAGCGCGACCCCAAGAATTGTACATCACTCCTTACCTTGCAGCGGTCCGCAGCCGGAGGTAAAATTTTAATATGAGTACAACTCCAAAAACCACTTCAAACAGGCTGCGTTTATAATTGACCTGAAGTAGTTTTCTACCCTAGGCTGTGGGGTCACGCAGAAATAACTCTCCTTTTTTTCAGGTAAACCCTCCAAAGAAGAAGTCAACTCCCATGGTATAGGCAGCCGAGAACTAATAACCATCTACAGATACACACGCTACACACACATTTTCATAAGAACTCAAAGCTTTCCTGACCATCTCTGACAACCTATCTATGTCATAACACTCATTTAAAGTGATATCAACTAAAATATTTAATCACGTCCCACAGACATTAAGGGGGAACTAAGGGGAAGTGAACTACCGCTGTGAAGTACACACATCCTTTGACAGATAACCAGCCAGATATCACGTCGATGCCAGAGACGATGTAGGTTGGTAAATGCCAAACGAGCCATTTTTATTCTACCTGAGATTTCGACAGCGATCATCTCTTTGGGGCTGTCTCAGCTTACGCGTGCGTTTGTATTATTCCGGTAGCGAAGAGAGAAAATAAAGGTGATGAAAATACCAGACAATCAATAACACGCAGTATTCGCTATCACCACCAGTAGAAATATAAAGGAAGCTGACTCACTTCATAACCTCAACTAGGCGGCATCGTTTCAACTACAGGTGACGGAACAGATGAAGATATTAGAGGCAGCTAATCAGACAAAACTTCATTAATTCTCAAGAGTTAGTTTGTGGGGATTTGATTTGTTTCGAATTTTGACCGGAGATTGACATCATTTAGAGAAGCGTTGAAAATCAGCACTGGAGTACCTAAGAGCTGTTTCCTCCTAGTTTGGGACTCATTGGTAGTATGCACCGACCGCCAGGGTTCCAATCCAGTACCTCCCGGTTAGAAGATGAGCCCGTAGACTATTCAGCCACTGGAACCCAACTGATTGGCCAGCCCATGAATTCTAACTTCTACCAATTTATGATTTTAGCGTGACCACCGCCAATGTCATCCGCGGCGAGTATTTGTTCCCACTTCCTAACTCATGGCACCTGCTGGTTACGACTTCTCACTAGAACTCCAGGCAACTTCGTCCTGCAGCTAGTCAGACACTACTGAGCACCAGATTAATTTTCACTACTCTGAATACAGTCCGGAAATCTACTGCACTAACTTAGCATAAGGAACAAGATTCGGCCGGAAAGAATAGGCAACAAAGTACTCTAACTGCAAGCGAACTAACAAGGAACTTACCACCTAAGAAACATGCGGAGAGAATTGGAGATGGAGGGATCAGAAAGACGTGCTAAGGCAAACGTTGCGTAACATCACGCAGGTGGTTCGCGAATGTGAAGTAAGCGATAAACTGGGTGTAGTTCTGAGGAAGGTGGACAGATCAAGTGGTTAAGAGGAAGGAACTAAATAAATTATATATATATATATATATATAATGTATATAGCATAGATTTTTAAACCTACCCAAAGGATTATATAATAATTTAAATATATGAACACGACTCCCTGTACTCCCAGCGTCGAAGACAACACCGTACACATGATAACTGGATACAACATTATTGGATATTGCTGTTGTTGGTATAGCAGCAATATTTTTCCTATATACAACAGACTGCATATGATCCCGTGAAGAAGTTGATATGTGATCTATAATTTTTTTATTATTAGTGTTATTATGATACGGCAATATCATACTGATCCATGATGAATCGGAGATGTAAAATGCAAGCCAAATAAACAGAATCAGCGTTAAACTGATACACAGGTATAAAATATTACGTAACTAAAAATAGAAAAAGGAAAAGAAAGAGATGCATACAACACATATTCAGATTATGGGGATTTACATTAATTTCAATTAATTTCCTTCACGAAGAAACACCTCAGTCAGAGGCATTATTACTAGGCAAGTTGAAGGTCAAAACAAGATGGTTGTCTTTCTATCCTCTAGGTAGGGAAACAACATACTGTTGCTGTTTTGTTTTTGCTTTTGTTTTTTTAATGGGAAGCGCTCCACTACTGTACTCACGAAAGCTGATGTGCGCGCCAAGGTAATGCACTTTCTTCATTTCTTTTTGCATGACTTACTGTATTCTTTTAAAGTTAATTTCATTAAATATATGCTGATCAACTGACAATTTTTGTCAGTCGTTTCGGTACTGAATTTCGTTCTTATGAATCCTTTCCCATGTGACGTTAAATGGTCTCAAATGGTCTTTGAATATGTCAAACTGTTGATTTTAGTTCCAAACGTGAACAAGACTTGTGTGGAGAGATTCAATCATATGATTTTTATTATCTCGACGGCACCCCGCAATGGGGAGTAAATCCGATATCTTCTACTTTCTTGCCATTAGTTTCTCTCCACAACTTTGTTTTTAGTCGTTTAGTATCTTATTGATTTCTAAGCACAAAATCTTTTGTTTGACTTGTTACATAAAAAAGGAGTTGACACTTTCTGGCATTATAACTGACAGTGGTGTTGTCAATAGGCGAATTTTAATTCTTGGAAGGAATTAGCCTAAATCATCTTGTCTGATACCTACCATCCCCCCCCCCATTTACTACTGACTTTTTCCTTGTCTCTGCGTGAGGTTGAAACCAGAAGAAATTTCATGAGAACTTATGCTTGAACGGCCAGCAAAAAAAAAACATTTTGTTATATCATATTTACCAAGGGTTTCGGTTGTGTGAACGGCGAGACAAACGTTAGAAAAGACTTTTATCCGTAAATAAAAGCAAATTATAACCACAATAAATTATTGTATATATTATTTTTAATAATAGTAATTTGCTTTATTCCAAAACAGTAACTGTGATATAGAATGGAATTCTCAGCATTTTTACTACAGTATTGCATCCAGATTAGTACATTATCATTATTCTTCTAATAACCTTCAATTTTAGTGGAATTTTATTATTTTTACTATTTTAAGTATGTATAAATTTACTTGTAAAAGGAGTTGAATTATTGCACATATGTACACCACGATGGAAATTCCATTCCGTTTTGTTTGGAATAAAGTGATTACTACTACTACTACTACTACTACTGTAATAAAGAGACCCTTGAAGTTGATGCTGGAAACAATTGGTGACATGGCTCAAAATCATCCTCAATAGCGCAGATGCATCCACTCCTTGTGACTTATGATTTCTAATGAAACTGTTTTGTTCTTCGTTATTACTATTCCTTTTGTCTCATATCCCTGTCTACTGTCTCTATTTTGCATTTCTTCTACTTTCTTCTCTTGCTTTGTGTGCTACATGGAGTGTGGTGACTTGAACTGCTGCACATCGGTGCAAAGTTCTATGTTGAAAACAGACAGACAGATGCTAATCAAGAGCATTGATTGGTTGGGGACAGCACTATATCACAAAGTTAGAATTCACTAGTCATTGAATCCCATCCGGCCCAAGTGTTTCTGAACGGTTAACGAACTCGGTTTCGCAACCTGAAGGTCATGGGTGGTTTGAACCCTGGAGGATAGGTCGTGGATGCACAGTGCCGCCAAGTGCTCCCTAGTGGTTTGCAATAATGCTCACTAGCGACTTGCCCTATTCAGGTGGGTAGTCACCTGGGGTTCTAGTGAGAAGTCGTGACCAGTAGGGTGCAGCAGGTCGGGCGTGAGGACAAATACTCGCCGAAGACATTGGCTAGGGGTGGCGCTCTGTCGTGAATTGGCAGAAGTTAGAATTCATGGGCCATTGGATCGGGTCCCAGTGGCTTAATGGTATACGAGCTCGCCTTGTAACCAGAAGGTCCTGGGTTCGAATCGCGGTGGGTGCATACTGATGAAGAGTCCCAAACTAGGACGAAACAGTTGTCCAGTACTCCCAGGTTTTCCAATGGTTCTCTAACTAATGTCAGCTCATGATGAAATCCTGTAACCAATCAAATCCCTACAAACCAACACTGGAAAATAATCTCTCTAACTGATGTTGGCTTGTGATGATATCTAACGATAAAAATACATATATATATATGTATACAAAATATCTCAATAATAGGAAAATTATAATAAGACGTCATGACCCGTTGGAGGAGGGGACGGGGCGTCACGAGTGAAGTGGATGCCATGCCGGTCCATATCTGCATACACATATATCACGATCTCCAGAGGAGTGATGGACAGGTGAGCACTTCTGAAGTATAGGGAACTACGATATGCTTTGTTATAGATGATGTTGAACATCTGTTTTCGGGGAATGATTGAATCAGGCCATTTTACAACTGGCTCTTCCAGTCATTCAATAATGCGTTCTGTAGCCTTGGCTCTAGAAACCTATGGTTCCCACCACAGCGGTTCCAAAGCAGGACCTCCCTGTTACAAGGCGAGCTAGCTCGTAGACCATTAAGCCACTGGAACCTGATCCAACAGCCAGCTCGTGAATTCCAACTTCTGCTAATTCGTGATTTAGCACGGCCACTAGAACAATGTCATCGATGGCGAGTATTTGTCCCCACGCCAACCGTTGTACCTCAAACTAGGACAAAGTGGCCATCCAGTACTCCAGTAGTGGTTCTCTAACTGACGTCAGGTCATGATCAGACATGTAACCGATAAATCCCTGCAAACCAACACTTGATGATTAATCTGATGCACACTAGACACTGGCACTATACAAGAAGTCACCTGCAGTTTTAGTGAGTAGTAACTAGCGGGGTCCACCCAATCAGAGAAGAGGACTAATAACTCGCCAATTACATTGGTTGGAGGTTGTGATATATACAACGAATTCTTAATAGTTGGAGTTCATGGGCTTGCCATTGGATAGGATTCCGATAGGTGAATGAACAGTCTATGAACACCTTACGGATAAATTAAATCTTGTTTTGTCAAAATCCACGAAAAGATAATTAATTGACTCTAAATTAGGCCACTAAACTAGCGAAATCCGTTAGAGTCCCGGAAAGATTCTTAGTGGTTCGATCCTTAGCGGAGCCATGAGTGCGTGTTTCTGAAAAATAGGCCTAAACTAGGACAAAACAGTTGTGCACAGTACTCCATCATGGTTTCTAATGATTATCGAACTGTGATTTCACTCATCGCGTCGGCTATCTCAAAAATAATGCTTAGTGACTGACTGAGTTTCAACAAGAAAGGCACAGAAAAGCAGCAGCTAAAGTTTGCACACTCCGTCAAGCACACGAAGGCTAAATAAAAAATGGAGAGGGAGAGAGAAAAAAGGATTCAAAAGTACTAGAATAAGCGGAAAATAGAAACAGAAAGAACAGGAAATGAAAACTTAATAGGGAGATCAGGGGAACAGCTGTGTTTGAAGCCCGATATGCCACTCGGAACCCAAGGGAATTATAACAGTAAGTAATCCGTACATTATGATAAAAACGATAAAATAGTGATAATAATAATAATATTTTTTGAAGGAACTTACAATCTGATGATAACTGGATCTTGAATATGATGGTCGACGTAAGCCAACGTATAGACGTTGATAATTTATTATCGGGATCATTGGTAATTTATCTGAATTATTATAATTATCACATTCTTTCATAAATAATTATTGTGAAAAAAGCAACAAAAAATTTACCAGTATCTGAAATTAAAAAATAAAATGGAATGATTACATACAATAGTTTCAAAACTTTTTGCATAAAAGGCATTGTACGACGATTTATTTATCAGCAGATAGGTTGCACTAATCTATAACACTAAAGAAATCTACGGGCACCATTTTTAGGCCGGAGGAGTAGGGAGGAAATACTATCTACTAATTTAACATTACTGCCATTATTATTATTATTATTAAACACAATGACACACCCATTGATTGGGAATTTATGCACTGGTTTTCAAGAGAACAGAACACACTATACCTGCCTCTTGAGGGATGAGGCTGCTGCTGCTGGATTCAACATAGAACTTGGCACCGAAGTGCAGCAGTTCGAGTTGCCACGTTCCAAATAGGTAGACAGGAAAATGAGAGAAGACAATCAATAGAATTTAGATAAGTATAAGAGTGAAACAGAATGAGTAATGGTAGAAAGGAATATGAAGGTTAAAGAGACTGAATACATCTGCGCCATTGACAACGATTTTGAGCCATGTCACCTATTGTCTCCAGCCATTGATTCTTAGAGTCTCGAGGGCCCCAACCCGGAAGTCTGCATCTCCCTACCTGACTCAGTTTAACTGTCAGGGATTTCATGGATTGATGCCAAGTTTTTGTTTGGCCACCACTTACTCTTTTCCAACCTGCACCTATATCAGCTAGTAATGCCCGTCGGGGGAGACGATGGTTGGGCATGCGCAGCACGTGACCTAACCATCTCAATCTATGTAACTTCATAGCCTCTTCGAGTGATTTTCCCTCTTTGCCCAACACTCTACGCCTAACGTCAACATTACTTACCTTTTTATACCACCTAACGCGAGAAAGAGATCGTAAACATCTGTGGTCAAAAACAGACAATCTCTTCATGTCTTCCGCTCTCAATGGTCACGTCTCACTACCATAGAGAAGGACGGAGCGAACTGCTGAGCAGTATACACGTCCCTTGGTTGACAGTCGGATGTCACGCCTACGCCAGAGACGGTGTAAGTTAGCGAAAGCAGCCCGAGCTTTCTGGATCCGTGCTGAGGGATGAGGCTAGGTATGCAGTATCAACCTGAGGCTCAACCACTCGAGAACCCTCTCTGTCTCTCTCTCACTTGATGAAACAAGGCAAGACAGACATTCATCACTCTGAAATCAGTTTGGAAATCTGCTGCTGCACTCGGCCGCAACATAAAGAAAAAATTTGGATTTTTAACACCAATGTTAAGTCAACCAGTCACTTCTTCCATGTGGGTGAGAAACTTGGTTTTGGCGTCATGATAAGCATTTCCAACAGCCAGCTACCTTCGCTGGCTCTATAATAAAGATCAGATGGCCAACGGAGAAGAATTAGCAGCAATAAACACTGTGAACGAGCTAATCAAGAACCTATGTCGACGAAAATAAAGATAGGTCGGAAACGCGCTGTGGAGACCGTTGGGTGACGTCGCGCACTAGGCCATCGAGCGGGTCCCGAACAGGAAACGACGCGCTGAGCGTTCGAGGTGACATAGAGATCGCGTGAGGAGATTAGGGCCTATGGGCAATTGTGGAGCCAGCTAATAATTATCATTATTATTATTCCCTTCGATTGAGAGTGGACACAAGGGTATCAGCAGTACTAGGCGCATCTCCATCTCACCCTGGCTCTCAGATTGTCCCATTAAGCTTTCATCCCCTCTTCGCCACGTGATCTCCTCTATGCCACACTCTGACTGACGCCCACATCTCGCCGTTTCCCGTTCCGGTTCCATTCATGAGCGCGACTGGCGCGTGATGTCACTCAGCGGCCTCCTCAGCGTATGTCCAGTTAACCAATTTCTGCAGTTACATCCCTACTCGCCAGCAATACATCTTCACCCTCAAACTCCCTTCAACCGACTTATACTATATGATGGTAACTGCTTTTAGTCTGACAGTCATCGAAACAACCATTGTGGAGTGACAGAACCTGCAGGAACATTAATTCCAAACGCCGTAGCTCGTTGACAGACAGTGGAATCCACGCGAATTCGACCATCAACAGGTCAAAGTAGCAACTATCAATTGGGATCATCAAGACCAGCTTCAACACAGATGAGTGTACACGTAATTATTCGGTTGATTATCTTAATGGGCTATGAGACGATATTGTTCGATGGAGAAAGTGGTGGCTCAACATGCCCATTACGTGTCCTACCCATTTGCCTTAAAACAACTTCATATTCTGATCGACCGATTAACTTTCTCTCCTTACCTAACACTACGCCCAACATCAAACTACACCACCATTTAACACAAGAGAGAGAACGCAGACATCTGTAGTCAAAGACAGCTAACCTCTTCAGATTTTCCACCTTCAGTGGCTGTCTCACAGTAGTTTTTTTCTATGTGCCAAGACATAAATCACACTTACCGCATAAGGGCTGATGATAGCATCCAAACCCCTAAGTTAGAGAAGCTGGAATTGGACTCGAACCAATGTATCATACCCCCAACCTGAAATATGATAGCGCTGTAAGAGGTGATGACTGTTCCACAAGTGTAGAGCAGAACCAAAGAAAATGTCTGAATACAACGTTGACACTTTAACAAGAAATCATATATTTCATCATTCCTTGTGTAGAATCTTGAACGCTGTGGTAGGATGTAATCCCACACTAGTTTATCAATCAGATGAAGTCTCAAACAGCCGCCATAAACAATATGATACGACTGAAGCTGGGTAAACTTCGATCTTCTTATCGAAATCCCTTCATGTGGGCACTTATTAATAGCATCTGTCAGGTAAATCCTATTCACTGATTTCACACGGCGTCGTGAAACTTCTTCACAAAGGTGACAGTGTGGATGAGAACCGTTAGCGCTTTCAACCGAACTTATGAACATGTAAGCCTAACTGGAGGGGCCGAAAAACCCTGATTGTTCCAAACCAATGGTGTGTACATGGGCTCCAAAATCCGAACGGACCAAACGGTGTATGAACTTGCCCATGATCACTAGAAACCATGCAAACGTAGCATCTCCTGACGTTGCTCCTCGCAAAAACAAGATTTTGTATAATGCATGTCTTAGTGTTCATAGTGAACCAAGTTTGTATTTTAATAAAAATAATAAGGATCGAACCGAATTTATTGTACATAAACATATGAAGTGAAACCATACATCACTGAAACCTTGCTTTTATGGTTCTAGTTTTTCGCTTTGATTTGCCATAAAAGGGTAGTAGAATTTTACAGACATCTGACTCACTTTAGTGCCATGGGACAAAAGGCGACAGTTTTTAAGATTTAATAAAGCAGGCTAGAAGAAGAGATTAATACGATAAACTTTGTTCATAAAGAGCACTGAGAAAATGTGTGATAGGAATGACTCAAAAACTATCCAGGAAATTGGTTAAATTTTGTTAACGTATGCCAAACGAACGAGAGGAACCAGGTCTATAAAGATCAAGTTCAAAGTTAATAGCCTGATTGACTGAGTTTCAACGTAGAACTTTTTACCCAAGTTCACCAAATATGTAGAAAAAACTCAGAGTAAACACAATGCACTGAAATATGTGAAAGAGAGAATAAATCTAGAAGTCGGTAATAGGAATTTTGATGTGCCCAGGAGTTCATAAAGAGTTACTGCATCTGTGCCATTGAGGACAGTTTTGAGTCATGTCTCCAACAGTCTCCGAAAACTGGAATTTAGTAAGTAGAAGATTCCAGCCAGTCTACACCTACCACGGTGGAAGACACAACATTTTGTCAACGCTTTCACCTAGAAAGACTATACCATTTACATACTCTAAATCATTGAGGCTGGTCTCTGATAACAAGTCTATACCTAAGTCGCTGAAGTCAGCTACGGTCACAATTCCATTAGTAAATCTATGATGACATTGAAAAAAAATGGAGACATCGTGCACATCTGATGTAAGCATCACTGGTTGTCATCACTTCAGATGACAACTCTTCAAAAGCTCTAACGCGGAAGTGTAAGTCCGATTCGAATGGCTTAATTAATGAGACAACACTCCCTTCACGGCCAGACATAGCCAGAACATATCTCTGTCGACGCATTTAAATACCAACTTCAGGTTAAGAAATATGACAAGTATTGTACGCTGGTATGAGTATGTTCCATAATACGTTGAAGAGTGAAGATATGATAAATGCACTTTTGTCTGGGCATAAAGCCTACTTGGTTTTCAGGGGTATTCTTCTCCTGAGCTCCGATACTCCATTAGTTAAGTCAATTCATCTATGATTATCACGGCTGAACTTGTCACTCTGCTTATAAACTGCGATAATCAGCGACTTACACAAATCAAATATAACTATATCTGATTACCGGAAATTGAATACTTGGTTAACCAAGTCAAACGGTTCATCACCACCATCCTCAAACACTACTGGAGTCATACCATCGGGTCATACTGCCCTGCTTCGTCTTAGAGTTGAGAAGACCTTTGTAATTTCACTTACAGTTCGAGAACCGACGTCAACATCCCATTCAAGTAGGTGTTAGGCACTGGGAAATTGAGCGTGGGTGTAAGCCAGTTAAACTTATCCTCACAGTACACAAAAATGTACTCACCAACCTTCCAATCACCTACGCTGAGAAATAACCTATGGTAACTAGTACTACCGTTGCAATAATCTCAAGCTTTTATCAATAATCAACCTATTGACACTAATATAGTAAAGTAATCAGCGCATATTTGTCAATGTGGCCCCAGTACAAGTTTAATTTGGAATGTCAGCTAGTCATGAAAGAGGTAGAAAGAAACCTCTTACAAAAAAGACTTGACTGGAATTTCACAGAAAGATGGAAATTACTTTTGTTGTTAACCGATAGCTTATACTGATGATGCAAACGGTTTGAACTCGCGATCCACTAATTTTGATACTGACCACATTACAAACTTGTCGTCTAATAGAATTAATTCAAGTGTTGGTTTGTAGGGATTTGATTGGTTACAGGATTTCATCATGAGCTGACATTAGTTAGAGAACCATTGGAAAACCTGGGAG